CCCCCCCCCCCCCCCCCCCCGGGTACCTATAGGGACGCCTATAGTATAGCGGTTTATATAAACCGTCTATAACCGCTATTGATATAAATTTTAGAGAGTTCGCGTATTTAGTTCCCTACTAGTAATTATTTTTCGTATAAACGTTTAAATATATATTACTAACGTCTCTCAAATCCTTCTCATCTTCCAATCTTATCCATTATAAGTATTCGTTATAAGTATAGGTAATGCGGGATGTATTGTTTGTATGATTATTTCATGACCAGAGTAGATTGGGCATAGCTCTCGCCATGCCCACCCCCGATGGAGGTATTGGCGTGCTTAGGCACGTGCCCCGGTACGTGCCCTGCTCGCCCAGTCGCTGGACCTGTATTGTAGACTAGCGATAAGATAAGGGAATTCCTATAAAGGGATTCCTGTGCGGGGTGGCCTTTGGCTACGCCTTTCTTCTTCTATTATCTTCTTCTTTAATAATATAGTATGCACTAGCATTGTGATATTTGAAGACACTCGTATTACCCTATCAATAGGCCACTCGGAGGAATAGGAAACGTAAGACTGCCGTAAAACGTACTATCTCTTAGTGCTATTAATAGTTACCCTATAAAATGGTATACTATGAGGCATTCAATTAAGGTATACGGAATAAATTGCGCTAAACTCTTTTCTTTTTACCTTTTTTTAATTCGAATTTTTTATCCCTTTTACTGTACCACGTAGGTGCTTCGCCGAAGTAGCTAATATAAATCTAAATTGGGGATAACTGTGGGTATTATTAGTAAAGTATAAGATAGGGAGGTTATTATTAAATTTAGAGAGTTTAGAGAGGACGATTTCTTTTTTAATCTCCTTTTAATCTATTTCTTCTTTACCTAAGCTAGTAGTAGCAGTATATTATGGTAGGAACTATACTACTTCTAAATAGTATTATTGTATCCCTCTAAGTCCTTAGTAAATTACTAGATTAACTTATCGATATCCTTCGATTTAATTCAATATATCCAACGACCATTATCTACTTTACTATATCCTATAATTTTTTTGAACTTTTACTCCTACTTTTCATTATTATTATTATTATCGGTCTTTATTATAGTTCTACCTTAGTTTGCTATAATATTTTATTCGATATCGTATTGTCCCGGGAGTTTAACTATCTCCTAAAGTTTGACTATAGAGATGTAGAAGACTAGACTAACTTTTATATTTTTAGGGAATTAGAGTTTAATTCTATAGGAGTCGTATTCGAATATTTTGAAAGGTCCCTCGAATTTAAATACTAACTTTGCTTAAAGTTTATTTATAGTAAAGTTTTTAATATTAAAAAGGACTCTATTACTAATTTAGTATTTGGGTATGTTATTGTAATTTTCGTTCGTATTTCCTTCGCACTAATCTTATACTTACTTTAAGAGTATAATAACGCCGTCCAATATAATTTAGAAACGGTTTACTACCTCCGAGGTTTTAAAGAACTCCTTCTTTTAAACATCTATAAAATTAAGGGGGCATAGCTTTAATAGCTCTATTCCTATCCGGGGGTAGAAGCTATAATTAATATAAAAGGGGTTTACTCCTATAGTTTCGGAGATTATATTATTATAGGTAAGTTCTACTAACGGTAATTAATCAACCTAATCGTTCTAAGCTTAATTGATATAGAATTTTAGGTATTATTCTATCTCTATATTAATTCTCTCAGTTTGACCGTTGGTTTACGAATAGAAAATTAATAATAGTTTTACGGTAATACCTAGCCTTTCGTACAAAGTCTTCTAGAGTATTAAAATAAATTATAAACCTCTATCTAATACAATTTTATTAAGTAAACTATAAATACTATAAATCTTTTTAAATAAATCTCTTAACTAATTTGTCTATTTCTAGTATCTCTATTAGAATATAATACCTTATCTTCGTTAGGCGGTCGATTATAATTATAATATAGTAGTATATCTATTTATTTTTAGTATAGGGCGTTATAAGTATTATATAGCTCATAGATATTTACAATTATAATTTAAAAAGTACTAAGAATAGTTTTAAATAGCCCGCGGGCGAATATTTTGATAATTTAGTTAGGGGGATAGCTTAGTTGGGCAGATCTGAGCTTGGCCCCCTTTCGGTTTTATCCGAAAGGTCGTAGGTTCGAATCCCGCTCCCCCCTCCTTTTATCCGGTTTTTCGCACCGGATCGAATAAAAGATCTTCCCTATTATCGCTCTACTAAGTATTACAACGTTAAAAATATGAGGGCCTATCCTGGTCTGGAACCCTGGGTGTACGTGACTGGGCACGTGCTAAAAATCTTATCCCAATTTAAAGAAGCAGTATCGGCTTCCCTCCGCCTCGCTCCGCCAATAGGGTCTAGGAATTAGAACCCTACTATTAGAATCTATTCTAGAGCTACGGTTTTACTCGGATAGAACCCGTCCGGTCTTACAACAATTAACCAATTACATTATTTTACTATATCCCGGCCAATTATAACGGAAGATTCTAATTTAAAAGTAAAAACCCTCCTCCTTACCCCTATACCCTAAAAATAGGATTAAAGAACTACCCCGACGCGCAATACCGAAGCGCTAGGTAGGGAGGCGGGGTCTTGAGGAATCGACTTATTAAGAGTTACAAAAGTCTACTAGGATTAAAGAAATAACAATCCGAGAGAAAATAAGCGAAGGAAGCAACCACGGCTCCCCAAGCCCCGTATAGTGAGGTAGGACGAAGGGTTCGGGTTAGGGTTAGGGTTGGATATAGAGATGCTGGGGGTTTTTATCCGAATTCAACAAACGGTTTTTCCCTTAGACTAAGAACGAAGTAGCACCGCATACCCGCTGGGACGACTAGTATAGTTAGTTTAGCGTAATAAGACAAATAAATAAATAATTTAGTCTTTATACAAATTAAGTATACTTTATAGAATTTCTTAATGGATTAGTATATCCCGGGCTAATAATAGAACCGGTTAAATATTTTATAAATCCTTTTATAACTAGGATATCTTTTTAGTTTTATTATATATAATTTATAAATAAATTGTAGTTAAGTCTCCTTATTGTTAGGGTTGATCAATACCCTTTGTTTAGTATCCTTCTGCTAATAAACCCGTACTTATCTTATTAAATATTTTGCAAAAGTAATATTAAAGTACTTTTTAATTTTCAATATCCAACCTCTCTAATTTTCATTTTATAGGTATAAAATTATTTCTTATATTAAATTTAATTAGAATAGCTATTGTCGATTAAATTATCTATCGACTTCGTTACTTCCAATTCGTAGAAATTAATTTCCTATAGGTCCATTTAATAGGACTAACTTTGGTGGACCTCCTCTATAGTTCCCAAATTTAAATATACTGTATTTAGTATATCCTTCTTTTCAAAAAAAGTTAGATTAAAGCGGTTTAGGTCTATAAGGGGTTTTTTCCTAAGTAAGAGCCTTTTATCTTCGTTATTCTATAGTCTATCTTCTAGCTTCCTACTCAAAGCATCTAGTCTCACGTTCTTTAGGCCTTTCCTATAAGTAATACGGAAGTTAAAACGGTTTAGGAACTCGGCCTATTGTATATACCTTAGTATAAATTGCTTAGTAATTAAAAATATTTTAAAATTCTTATAGTCGGTAATAATCTCTACTTATTTTTATATACCTTTTAATTCTAGTATTTATTCTTCTAAGGCTTTTATAATAGTAAATAACTCTTTACTATAAATATTATAATTATATTCTACTATAGTGTATTTAGTTAAGAAATAAATTATTAGGTAGAACGTACTATCGTCTCCCTATTGTAAGAGAATGCCGCCTAACGCCTAATGCAAAGTATCCGTCTCGACTACAGTCTTTTTTATCTAGTTATAAATTTTTAGGATAAGTATTATAGTAAATACGGTTTTTAAATTTTCGAACGCCTTCTAATATTTAATATCCTACCGCTACTCTGTTATTTTCTTTATTAATTTGTATAATAGTCTTACTATACTAAAAAGGACTCCAATAAATTACTAATAGAAACTAACAAAGCTTAGGAAAAACTACAGCGATCTTTTAGACTCCGCTACCTCCTATAAAACTACAACCTTCACTTTATTCATATCTATCTTAATACTTTTTAGTGTAATAATAAAGCTCAAATATTTAGTCCTAATAGTATAGAACTCGCATTTATTAATATTAATTTATAACCTGGAGTACTTAAGACGGTCTAGAATATTGGATATATACTTAATATAGTCCTCCTTATTGTTAAGATATATCAGGATATTATTTAAATAAATTGTAGCGAACTTATTTAACGTATTGTAGAGAATATTATTAATAAAATTCTGGAATATTACTAAGGCTCCTTACAAGCCGAAGGGATAAATAAACGATTTGTAGAGTCCGAATCTCATTATAATTACTATAAGCTATTCGTATCTTTTATAGATTCGTATTCAATTGAATACTATAATCACATCTAACTTAATAAAGATCTTTACCTTATAAATAGCGTCCAACGTTTCTTTAATTAACGGGAGGGGGTAATATATTTTTAGAATTGTATTATTAATACCTCAATAATCAATATAAATTCGTATACTACCGCTTAGCTTCTTCATTAGTAATACTAGGGATACTGTTAAGGATTAGGACGGCCGGATAAAACTTTACCTAATATTATCGTCCAATTATTTTTTAATAATACCCAATTCTAAGGGAGACAATAATTATAATTAAACATTAGACAATTTTACGGCGGGGATTAATTCGATTTTATAGTTAGAAAATTGGTACTACGGAATAACTTTCGCCTCTTTAAAGCTTACTATATTCTAATACTTATAATAGTAAGTAGGTATTTCAATTTCCATTTCTTATTTGATAGCGAAGGGTTTAACCTTATCCGCCTATTCATAAATTCTTTTGGTATTTTCCTCTATAATTTTCGCTTAACCTCTCCTACTTCGCCCTAGAATATTCTACAAAAGTAGTCCTTAAATTAATCTTTATATCCTATATTATTATCCGTATAAATATTGTTATATATCTTCCCTATAATTTTCATTTTAGAGTCTATTTATCCGTTAGTAACCTCTACTTCCAGCTTTATTAGCGCCCTATCGATTTCTACTTTGATTATTACTATAACTTCGAAATTTTCAGTCTTAATAGCAAAATTTAAACTAGCAATATTGAGTGCTATAATATTGTTAGGGGTTAATAGGAATATTACTAACGTTTATAGGCCTTACGAATAATAGTACTAACAATCTCCTTTTGGGATTTAAAGTCCGGACTCGCTTACTGCTAATAGTCTTATATAAGGTTAATTTGATTAATTTAGTTTATAACGGCGTATCAGGGATTATTAACATTTAGTTACTTATAAGTAATTAAATAGACTAGAATTATTTAGAGTCTATACTATATACTTTAACGATTTTCTATAGTAGTCTAGTCTTTTTACGCTTGAGAGCTCTACGAATCGGGGATTATTATTATTATTATTCAGTTTTAATAATTAGCTCCTCTTTGGCCGCTTCAATAATTTACTCCTCTTCGGCCGCTTTAACGGCTTACTCCTCCTCGGCTACCTTAATAATTTACTCCTCCTCGGCCGCCTTAACGGCTTATTCAGCGATGTTTCCGATAGTAACCCCCCTTAGGGCTTTTGGGGTTTATATTTGGAAATCTAGCGTAGTTACAAGTATGTAAGTATCTCTACATTCACAATTGAATTTGAATTCCCCCTTTTCCTAATCTATAGAAGGATTATATTATTAGAGCTATAGTAGGCCTAGGATAATAGGGTTTTGTAAGGATAGGGTCAAAACGAATAACTTAATTTCTTTATTATATAGTCTGATTTGTATAATAATCTTTATAAAATTAGTTATATAAGTATTAATATTGCTATCGGCCAACTATAGTAGTCTCAATCGGTCGAATTTCGTTATAGGTATTTAATTTCTCTTAATAAATTTAGTATTAATAAAGCCTTTACCCGTATAACTACTATTAATTAAAGTTAAGTATTATACTTTATGTTTACTATAAAGAAGGTAATTCAAAAGGAGCATAGACGTTTCTAATTTAGCTATTATTAAATTAATAAATAATAATTCTAATATTTTTTCCTAGTCCTAGTACAATTCTTTGTTTTAAAAATCTTTATTATACTTATTTGGGTATCCTTCTGCTTCTAAACTATTCTTATATCCTTTCCCGTCTTCTTATAGTAATAGCTTCTATTTATAATTTAGTATAGAGACTCGGTATTTCCCGCCTTATCGCCCTTATTAGTACTAATAATTTTGTTATTAGTAGTATTGGCGGCGTTAAAGTTATTATTATTACTATAACTATTTTAACCGGCCCTCTTCTTCTTGACTACCTCCGGAATAGGGTTAACTCTTATACTTTTAAGAGAAACTCTACTCGTACGTTAAAAAAACTCTATTCGCACGTGGATCCACTTTTTCTCTCACACATAACCCTAACCCCCGCAACCCCCAACATCTCAAATGTATTCTTTTATAAATTTCGCCCAAATATTGGGGCATTTCAATCTTACGTGCTATACCAAGCCCAAACTCCAGACTAATCATTTACCATGCACTTTACAACGTACTTTACAGCGCACTTTACAACGTACTTTATAGCGTATTTAGCAGTACGGTCGCACATCGCACTCAATTGAGTCGTTCAATTGAGCGATCAATTAGTCGCACTCAATCTATATTAATCTATATAATTATAATTTATTTAATTTCCATTATATAATCGAATACTCTAATTGCCAGCGAATCTCCCTTATTAAGCTTAAATATTAATTAGGGTACTAGCTAGCGTACCTCCTCCCCTTATATTTCCCCTCCTTATACTTCCTCTCCCCCGTATAGAACTACGTCCTCCCCTTATACTTCCTCCTCTTTATACAGTCTATATAGAGCTTCGTAGATAGCCTCGTCCCTTCTATAATAGAGTAGGAGGCTAAACGTCTATTACATCCTCTACCTCTAAATTTATACCCTCCCAACTAAATATAATTCGTTAAATTAACAGCGCTATATATATCGAAGCTATAGGGTTACAATTTACTCTAGACTATTGGCTGCGGGCGGGCTAGAAGTAAGGCTATCTCCGACCTCGCAATATTGCCGCTTGGAATTGAATTAGTACTATAGAGGGGGGGGGGGGGGTTGGATATTAATTAGCGCAATAAATTGGGGAGTATAAAGATTATTAGCGAAGGGTATTGTATTATAAGGGCGGCCGCGAAGGTTCTTAATGTAATTAAAGTTATAATATTTTGAATATTCGTCCTCCTTAGATATAATTCTCTATAACTATTAATAAAGGTAAAAGTCTAGTTTATTGAACTTTAATAATAGTGGCCGGGTAAGAAGGCTAGGGAATAAAGAATATAAATATAGTAAACTAAATTATTTAATAAATTTGCCCGTATATAATTCTAATTTATTAGGGACTAGATTCTATACCGTTGGGATAGTACCCAAAGTAATACGGTATTATATTGTAATTTTATTGAGCGTAATCCAATATACTTAATTAAATATATTACTTAATTAAGTAACGTTAAAATAGTCTCTTTTAGTAAGTCTTATCTCTTTTTCGACTTTTTTATCGATTCTACGCTTTATTGCAATAAATAGATTAAAGCTCTATATAACGGCTTAAATAATTAGACTATTACTTATAGTTAGAATGATGATTAATATACTATAAAATATATAAGGGATAATATATAAATTAATAATAATTACTACTAATAACGAAACTCTTTAAATTACAATTTACTAATTCGATTAACGATATAATACGGTAGCCAAAGTTTATCCTCTTATTAATATAATAAATAACCTACTCCTCCTTTAATACTATATACGTCTCTTTTAAATACGTAATAATTACCGTTTATTACGAAAAAAAGTTGTAAAGCCTCTCCTAAGCAATATTAAAAATTTTAATAATATATGTATAATATATATATTTCTAGAGAGTATAAAGTCTAGACTATAAATACTCTATAGTATTAGGTAGCGCTTCTAAAGTATTTAAATTATTTACTAATCGGTTAAAGCGGTTAACTATCTCTTAATCCTCCTCGTTAAACTCCTCCAAACTTATTATATTATTGGACTAAATTAATTAGGGTAGCTGGACGGTCGGCTGGGCTATTGGTTATATTATTACTAATATCTTTGGCTATATTTATATTATATTAGTAGCGGCTTAAGTATTACTAATTTAGATAGCTGCTTTTTTATCCTACTTTTACTTAATATATAATACTATATTCTTGTTAACGTAAAAAATACAAAACTAGAATTGAGCTTAGGGATAGACTCGCTTAATAGCTACCTTTATTACTATATTATAGTCTATAATTATAATCGATAGGGTGGTAGCGCTAATAGCCTTACGACGAATATTAATCTAGTTTATTAATTAATTAAATCCCTTTTATCTCTTATTATTAATAAGGTTAAATCCGTAGCTAAAAGCGTACCCGGTACTAGTTATACTAATAATTTAGAAGAAGGCGAGCCCCTTATTATTAGTCTTATACGTATTATTATATATTTAAATGGTAGGGTTATAGTGCTAGAGCTCCTTGTACTAGGGATTATTCTAAAAGAGGGCAGTCGGTTTACTTTCGTTACTAGAGCTACCTTCTGCCCAATTGACTTTAAAGTGGACCCCCTTCTCTGTAAGCAGCTTTATTCTAAGTTAGAAGGGGTTATAACCGCTATTAATTTTTTGTTTAAATGTATATTGAAAGTTCTCGAACTATCTAGTTGTAAAATAAAGATCCGGGAATTAATTGTGCAAGTCTTCTGCAATTTTACAGTTCCTTATAATAGAGCGTTAAATATATTACGAGACGAAGGTCTTATACTCTATTTTAAAGACCCTGCGAATTTATATTGTAATATTAGTAGTATAGCTATAAATAGTATATCCTTCCCTAATTTCGAAAGTCTACTTCTTAAAATTTATTTTTAATACTTTAGTAATTCCCCTCTAAGGATATCCCCGTTTGGTAGTTAACGTAGATCTATTATATGTAATAGAGGGACGGATTTTACTAGTAATATAAATAAAGTCGATAATAGTATAATTGAAGTCCTTAGCGAAATTAGTAGAGCGTAATTTAATAAACTAATAACTGCCCTACTCTTTATTCCACTTTCTGACTACCTTAGTAAGGTTATTGAAGTTATTATACTGGGTTGTAAAGAGGGGATGAGGCTCGTTGTGACTGTTACCGTCGTTACTGTTACTATTATCATTGTTATTGGAATTACTATTATCAATTTCTATAAGCTTTAGCTGGGTAGAGGGGGGCTCGACTAGGGTAATATTTATTGAAGGCTTTAATTTAAGATCGATAAAGGAGAAGTCGATTGTTTAATTAGGGTAGTTACTTGCGTTACGGTCGTATACGCCTATCGGTTAGGGGGTCGCTGTATTGGCTATTTGTATTATAGTTAGTTAGGGAAATATATTAAAAAGTAATAGATTAATCCGTACCGTCGATAAAATGATAGCGCTTTATTAATTTAGTAATAACTGGCGATGTACGATATAGTAGATTAATTGCGGTGACGAGGGTGATGTGTGGTTTGGTGGAGGAAGTAATATAATAAAGTATATACTAGAATAATTGTTAAATTAGATTAGTTGGGTAGCTAGTATAGTACGAAGGTGGTTAGTATAACCCCCAAATGGGTATAATGGGTTGAAATTTGGGAGCTTGGCGGGCGCGGTACGTGCTAGATGTGTGCGGGTCGGTCTGGGGGTCTGTAGGGTTAGGGTTGGGTATAGGGGAGGAGGGTGGATCCACGTGCGAATAGAGTTTCTTCAACGTGCGAGTAGAGTTTCTCACTTTTAATACCTTCTTTACTATTTCTAATATTAATAAGGTTCTAATATTTCTTCTAATTGTAGCCGACCCTATTGCACCTCTAGTATTTATCCAATTCTTATCGCTTCTTTTATAAGATTTAAGGAACTAAGTACTTATTAATAACTTTGAACTTATCTAAATCTATTAAGTTACCGCCCTAGAAGACCGTCTTATTTTCGGAGTAACCTCCTTTATTATTACTAGAATTATTACTATTAGAGGATATCAAATTAGAGAACTTCTTTTACAATACTTCCTCCTCTTAACATTTAGTAAATTTACTTAAAAGTTCGAGCTAACTTTAGAAGTCTTCGCTATTAGAGATATCGGATTGGTAGGTAATCGAGGCTCGGAATTGATTAGTAACTTTCTAGTAGAGTATGAAAATATATATAGTATTACTTATATTATAGCGGTCGGTATTAAACATAGATTTATTAGTAAGATTTTAGAATAATAATTTTATTTAAAGCTTTTATAGGGTACGTTCTACTTCTACTCTTATATCTATAGTATTATACCGGCCGTCGAAATACTTAATAAATTCTTTGGCTATTTTCTAGAGTAACCCTCCCCGCACCCTATGCTTTCCTACTGGCACCCTCCCCCATCCAGAAAAATGGGGCGGTTCAGCTGATGACACCTGGCATCGTAAATTTCGATTTTACCCACAAAATTTCGTCTTCTTAAAATCTACGTAACATTCCTTCTAACTTAGTTATTCCTTTTACTCTTTTCCATACGGACAGCCATTTGTACCTATACTATACTGTACCTATTATACTATACTTATTATACTATACCTATTATACTACACCTATCATATTATACCTATTACACTATACCTAGGTATTTATATTTAATAGAGCAGGCGAGAAAGGAGAGCTATCGAAATACCTTCAATCACCTAACTTATCTAACGAACTTTCTAAGCTGTTAAATATTACTATATAGACTATAGAGATATTGGAAGATTTGGGTTATAAGGGTGCGAATACTTCTAAGTAGGTAACCTAACTATAAATATTACTAGACATTGAAAACATGTAAAATTACAGCTCAAACCCTATAATTCACATGACAGCTGACATAGGGTGCCTGTAGGAAAGCATAGGGTGCGGGGAGGGTTACTCATTTTCTACTTTTATAAATTAGAGTATTCGTCGGTTAAAATTGTGTATATATCTGGTTTAAAAATAGATATAGGGGTTTTACCTATATAGATAAAAATATATATAAATTTATTGCATTGGTTGGGGAAGGACTATTTATTATATATCTAATATAAGTGAATTTCAGTATACTAAATTATATACACTATACTGCGGTCCTTAGTAATTATTCCTGATATATTAAAAAAGTCCGGGTTGGTAAATATATAGTACTTTATACTATTAGTAGGCTCGATATAGCCGGGGCTACTAGTAAGGCCGCTAGTAGGGATGCTATTGAAACCTCCATTATTGTCCGAATTGCTAGAATTAGCAGACTTTAAATTTTCAATTATAACATTAAGGCTGTTATTAACTGTTTCGAAAGTGATACCTTTACTTTATAGCGAACGGACTTAAACTTTAAGAATGATATTTTTATTTAAAAGCTTTATTATCTTAATATTGTAACTAGTATAAAGAGCCTCCTTAACTTCAAATTCGCTAAGCTAACCCTTAGCCTCATTTTTTTTAATAAATAATATTATTCTAGAGGGCCTTTTGGGTTTGGATATAGATTCGCTCGTTAATTTCTTTTTTGAATATCTTTTAATAATAGCTAGCCCGGGTTGAATAGAAAGCCTCCGTAATAGTATTAATACTAGTATTGAAAACCGGAAGGTGGGCGATATTAGTAGTATACTAACGAAAGATAATAGGATATACATTAATTCATTCGCTAATTTGAAATCTATTATAGAAGTAGGCCAAGGAAACTCTATAATTATTATTATTGTTATAGAAACGCAAAGCTAATATTGCTATTTCGTTATCGGTAATTTTACCTTCGGGGTCGGTATAGAGTAGAATTTTCGTTCCTAGGAATATAAATTTAGATTATAAAAATTAAAACCCGGAAGGTAATTGGGGGGGGGGGGGGGGGGAGGGGGTATTTACAAGCCTTATTTAGTAGGAATAGGTTAATTGTTAACTATATTATAATTAAACGCCGTTACTTAATCGATAATAGGTACCTCGCCTAAAAGGGAATAATAAGTACTATTGGCTCGAGATTTGGTCTTAATATTAATATAATCATTAATAATCGATTTAGTATCGTTATCGTTCCTAGGGTAATTAAAATAGTCTTAGCCGGTAATTGTTATTGTAATTGAAATTAAATTTATATAATAGCTACAATAATTATCGAAGCCGTTTATAATTCCTCAATCCTACAAGGCCTAGACGTTAAATTAAT